CGGAGCTACAGGGGAGTTTAAGGATATCCATGGGTCACACCAGACATCGTTGAGGATCCACTCCCTATGACCTTTTGTAGGCAGAGTGTTAAGAGGTCTCTACCAGCACAGATGCTTCGCCAGCCGTGAGATGTTAAGGAGGGCACTTTACCTTCTAAAAAAGTAGAATGTTGGTAGTACTTGCCCTTGAGGATGCGTGCTAGTATACTGGTTGGGTTTTCTAAGATGCGCCAGCTGATCTTTGCTAGTAGGCTGTCGTTGAAGATTTGTATGTCTCGGAGACCTAAGCCTCCATCTCTCTTTGATCTGGTAAGTTTCTTCCACAAGATCCATGCCATTTGTGTTTCACCTTTGTTAGTGTCCCACCAGAACCTCGTTAGAGCTGATTGAATTCGTTTTCAAAGCGATGCAGGAAGCTTGAAGCATGTCATAGTATAGGTTGGGAGTGAGGATAGAACCGACTTGAGAAGTGTTAGTTTCCCCGCAGTGGAGAGGAAACGCGAGGACCATGATGCTACCTTCTGTTTAATTCTGTCGACAATGTTGCTGAAGAGATCTTTCTTTCTTCGACCAAAGTTCTCTGGTAAACCAAGGTATTTTCCCAAACCACCTTCCTTTGTGATTCCTAGCTCTCGTTTGATTCTTTCTTTTGAGTTTTGAGGCGTTTTTGAGGAGAAGTTGATTGCTGATTTTTGCTTATTGATCAACTGTCCTGAGGCTTCTTCATAGCGGTGGATGATGGTCATTAGCTCCTTGCAGCTCCCTGAGTCCGAGCTGCAGAAGAACATTGTATCATATGCGAACAACAGGTGGTTGATCCGTGGACTTTCTTTAGCCACCTGAATGCCTGGAAGTCTTCCATCTTCCTGAGCCTTTAGACATAAGCCCGAGAGGACTTCACTGCACAGGATGAAGATAAAGGGTGAGAGAGGGTCCCCTTGCCTTATATCGCGTTGAGGGTTAACCCTTCCTTGAGCTGAGTCATTTAGCAGGTACGTATATGAGACTGTGGTGATGCATTGCATAATCCATTGTATCCATTTCCAGTGAAAACCTAGCCTTTGTAGTATTGCTCCAATGAAATCCCACTCGAGTCTATCATAAGCTTTTGACATATCTGTCTTAACAGCCATGTGACATCGTTTCTTGGCTTTTGATGTTTTCAGGTAATGGAGTACCTCGTGGGTGATTAGGACATTATCTGCAATAGCTCTCTGTTTGACAAAGGTGGATTGGTTTTCAGCTACAATGTGGGGAAGAAGCGGTGTTAGTCGGCTGGTGAGCACTTTGGAGATGATTTTGTAATATACACTGCAGAGAACAATAGGTCTGTAGTCTGAAACTTTCTTTGGTGCATGAATATTTGGGATCAATCTAACACAGGTTTTGTTTATATTGTGAGGGATGGTACTCGCGGAGAAGAATAGTTGAAGTTCCTTAATCACATGGGGTCCTACTGTATCCCAGTGGGACTGGAAGAAACAAGCTGAGAATCCATCAGGGCCTGGGGCTTTGTCTCCATGGATTGCAAAACAGGCCTTCTTTATTTCCTCTGCTGAAGGTATTGAGATCAAGGATTCATTCATCTCAGCCGTTATCCGGGGTTGTAGAGCTTCCAGGACTGTAGAAACTATGTCTCCTTCGTTTGAGGTGAAAAGTTTATCAAAGTAATCCACAATTACTTTGATAATCTTTGTTTCCTCGTAGAGTACGTTCCCTTGTTCATCCTCGATAACAGCAAACTTATTGACTGTTTGTCTGGTTTTTGTTGTAGCATAGAAGTAGCCCGTGTTTTGATCCCCCAGCGCTAACCAGAGTTGACGACTTCGTTGCTTCCAAAAGGCATCTTCTACTTCATAAGCGAGGTTAAGTTTCCGAGTAATGTCTTCTATGAGAGCAGTGTTTGGTGAAGGGTCTGTTAAGGCTTCCTCCAGCTTTTCCCGTAATCCGTCAATGGTTTTTTGGCTGTTTTTATGTTTTTCTCGAGACCATGTGATGATTGCTTGTCTGCTTCTGTTTATTTTTGTGTCAACTGATTCAAAAACATCAGAGATCCATGCTTCCACTATCAATTTCTTGACTTCAGGATCTTCCTTGAGTCTTCTATCATATCTGAAGATACCCTTTTTTTTCTTTTTCAGGGGGTTAAAGTATGTGGCAATCGGTCTGTGGTCTGATCCTTCAAAACGGAGGTAGGTGCTTCTACCCGAGGGGTATTCTTCAGCCCATAGACTGTTGGCCATTGATCTATCGAGGCGGCATCGTATGAAGTGAGAGTGTCTTTGGCCTCTCCAGGAAAGGAAGTCTCATGTATATTGAAGGTCATACAGGTCGCATCCTGCCATGAAGGCTCTGAAGTCCGAGAATGAGCCTTCTGGTCTCGGGGGTCCCCCGGATTTTTCTGAGGGGTCTAATATTTCATGAAGTCTCCCGTGAGGATCCAAGGTGCATCTCTTGTGGAGGCTAACATTGTGAGGTTTTCCCAGATTTTCTTCCTTTTTGATTGTTCCGGATCTCTATAAACAAAGGTTGCAAAGAAAGATTTCCCTTCTGCTTTGATATAGGTGTCTATGAGGTTTTTGCTGTCTGCGATGATTTCCAGTTCGATGTAATTCTTCCATAGCAGTGCTAGGCCCCCACCTCCAGGGCTGTGAGGAGTAACTAGTTTGTGTGACGAAAAGCCTAGGCTGTTGAGTTTCTCAAGTACGACCGTGTCTGGGTTCTTCGTTTCGGAGAGGAATAAGATGTCAGGAGAGATGGTACGACATATCTTCCTTAGTCTGCGAACTGTTGTGGGATTCCCCAAACCACAACAGTTCTAGCTCACTATCGTTAAGGAAGAGGATTTGATGGTTCGTGAAAATCCACCGTCTTATTTGTTCTCCGTGGGTCATCTGAGACGTTGGGGGAGTTATGTTGTTGTTGCTGTCTCTCTATCTTGACTTTGTTGCATTGCTCTTATGTCCCATTATCCTTTTGTTAAATTTAGGTGAAGCATCTTGAAGTAGCAGAGTTTCTCGGAGGACGGCTTTATGACTGTGTCTTCAAATCCAATGAAGTTGAGAGTTAATTGCATTTCAGTAATCTTCTCCCCAACAGTGGTTTTTTGTCAAGAATTTTTGAGATTTGTGCTTACATTGGGAATGTCAGGTTTCATATTTTAAGAACATGAATTATATATTTTGAACAAATTGAAAAATTCCAATATATAGATTCATAAATCCTAATGAAACAAAAAGCCAAAGAAAGAGAGTGATAAAACTAGACATGCGATACACTCAATCTAACCACTAAACAAAGGAACCGATATAAAACTGGGAGTGGAAACAAAATGAAGACACTCAGAAATCTCTAGATCATAATCTATTTCGATCTTCTTGCACTTATCTCCCCTCACAATATAGATCCAAGCCACTCGAGTTTCCTCGTCGCCGTAGCACATGAATAGGGTCTTGTCATAGATGAAGTAACTAATGCCATGAAGCACATTACTTAGCCTTGGCAAGTTACTACTTGTCAAGGTCATGAGTTTTATCCACACCACTTCCTCTTGATCAATCTTATTCGTCACCCAAATCTCAACCTTCCTTGTTTCATCGCATTGCTTTAACAATGAAAACCCATCTCTCTTATAGACCGCGAGGAGAAGTTGATCGCGAGGATGGTTCTTCTGACAAGGAAGGTGGCAAAACTGCTCGAAGTTCTCTGTTGAGAAATCAAACCTTCGAATGAAGTACTCATGGGTATAACATTCAAACCAATAGAGATTTCCATTCAAGGACAATATTGTTCGTCTAGCTGTTTCACTCGTGAAACTGTCACGTGATTTAATAAATCTAAAAGCGTGAGACGCACAATCGTAGATCACAGGTTCAACAGAGAAACGGCTAAACGAACGAAAAAAGCCCAAGATCTTGTAGACCTTTTCTGGTTTACTATTATCGTATCCTAAGCCGAAAAAATCGAACTGTTGTTTCCTAGGTATCATTATAACCTGTCTCAGCCACGGATTCCAGAGCGCTGTCTCGTTCTTCCCAAACCCATCGTTACAAAACAAGAGCTCATCGCAAGTAGTGATGGTTGTGTAATCTCGGGGAGTAACAATAAAGGAGTGCAGGTCACGCAACTCTAGCTTTGGCGCGTTGCTGTTGGGATTGATTATGTCTATCGAGTAACTTCTGGAATTAGTCACGAAGATGAACTGGGGACGGGAGCGAGACAGGTGATTGTTTTGGAATGTCTTGTCTTTGCAAACACCGTTCCATCGTTTGCATACGGTTCTGAATCGGCCGAGAGATCGAAGTGGAAGACGAGAGAGTATCTCTTCCTCCAACTCCCACGGAAGCTGCGGAGCCATATTAGGGTTTCTCTGTGTTTCAGTTTCAGTTACTAAAAATTGTTACAGTATAAGAGGATATATACACATATATCTGTGACGTAAAGGAAACAAACAACTTTAATAATAAAAACCAAATTTTAAACCGATTATAGTGAACCGATTATCAACCGGTTTGACGGCCGCGTAGACCAAGTTTTCGATCCCAAGTACAAGAAGTAGCGTACCTGGCACGCAACTATTGGCAAAGAATAAAAATGAGTAGGGTTCGGTCACGAAGAAGAAGAGTTTTGTTAGAGTCTCATCACGTGACAAACACATGACAAATCGATAAAAGGAAACTCAACAATAAAATAGATACTTAACTATAATTCAGAAGCGGTTTGGTTTTATCCTTTTTGGTTTAGAAAATAGGAAATTTCCTTTTAGAATAATGTTAAGCTTTCAACTATATATATGTAAGCAATGATCAATTGAGAGCAATAAACAGTTTTTAAGAATATTGATTCAACGCTTTTTTTCTTTTGATATTCTGAGAACAATTTTAGCTTCTTTGCTCAAACATCACAAAATTCCAACAAAGTTAAGCAACCACATTTCTTCCTTCTTCATCTTCCATCTCTTTCTCTCGACTAAAGCTTTTGAGAAAAGAAAGAAAGAAGCCATGAGCTCTTCAGTAATGAGAACTCTTCAGATTCGTAAACCCAATTCTCTCCCCGTCTCTTCCTCCGCAACCGCCGCCGATGAGCCTGGTCTTCTCCGCCGTCGTCTCTCCTCTCTCTCCCTGAATCTCTCACGCAAACAGCCTTCCGGTGATTTTCCCAGATCCAAATCAGTCTCCGCCATGGGAGAGCAAGGAGGTAGTAGCTCCTTGAAAGAATGGTGGGAATGGAGTTGGTCATTGATTCTTTTCAAGAAATTACCAATCTTCTTCACGGATCTTGAGTTTAACAAGGACGGAACCAAATCATCGTCGTCGGGTAATCAACAAAGAGGCGGCTTTGCTCAAGTCTTCTCCATGCTCCGTCGTTCCTCCGACTCTCTCCCTCTCTCCTGCAAACAAGGACAGCGATGACGTGGCAATCCTGGTCGTTGAAGGTTTACATTTTGTGTGTGTGTGGGGACTGTACTCGAATTCTTATAAACAAAAATCTCTTCTTTGGTTCTTAATCACAATGGTGCTTGCTATAATTTCTAGAGTTGTATTAAAACTTCTTTTATTTTTTATAAAATGCTATATTTATTTCATTTGTTTGATTAGTTTTTTTTTGGGGTGTCAATTTTTTTGATTAGTTGTCCTTGTATATAGAAACTGTTATATTATTTATTACGCGCCAATTAGCGATGATGAAAGAACAGAAGATGGAAATATTACAATGATCATCATTGTTTTGTTTCTTTTTGCTCTAAAAGCTTAGTTAAGAGATTGAAGAAGATCTCAATTAAAGGTCAAATTAGAGCATTTTCAAGATCTAAATTAAAGGTCAAAATATTGAAGCTGAATAGAGAGAGTTTTCAAAAATCTGATTTTACTTTAGTTTCCTTTTTGTCTTTGCGTGAAAATAGGCAGAAAGAGAGTTTTGATGTGTATCTACGAAACGTCGGCTACAATTAAGGCGGACATTACCTTTGTTTGGTCGGTGGGGAGTGGAATAATCGCGTCGGTGGCGCATTGTTATTATTATTCCGATTATTGTCTGTCATTAACTATCTAAAACCTTTCATTACCATATCATATGGACCGTCACAATTTAAAGAATAAGAAAGATAAGTTTCGTTTTTTTTTTGGTGATGATATAAATATCCTATCCATAAAGCATTTCTTAAATCTTAATTTAAATATCAATTGACATTTTTCGATTTAATATGATCTAAACTGAATTGAGCATCCTTATTTCAAGATCCCATGACTATAGTTCGACTTTTGTTTTTCCAAGAAGGATATTAGTTATGTTTAGTTCGACTTATATCTTTCAAAGAAGGAGTGGTTTTCTTTTGGTGAATCTATTACTAATAAAAGTTGATGCTAAATGCCTTTAAGGGTGTCCACATAGGATTTAAAGATTTAATTCTATTAATACACATCATCATTATTTTTAGTTAATTATATATTGTATATTAAAATTAATTAATTCGTTTTAATTGTTATGAAAAAAATTTCTAAATTTTAATTAATTTTGCTTTTGTTGTTATTATGAAAGTTTCTAAAATTTAAGTTAGTTATTAATAAAAAAGAGTTTTGAAAATAGATCTTATTTTCTATTAACAATAAAAAATTAAATTAACATATAAATAGATTACTAGGTGGTTGCCCGCACATATGTGCAGGTATAATTTTTTAATATATATAGTTAATTGTAATATTTAAATATTGAATAGTTTTTTAAACATTGGTATGTTTGTATATATATTGTTTTAATATTTCACAAACTTCTTTCTGAATCCAATGTATTTTAAAACTTTTTATTTTTATAATGCTTGTAATAATATATAATCATAAATATAAAAGTTATGTTAAATAATAATTAAATTCTTATAATATGTTTTGAATATTTCTATAATATGCTTTATTTTTTCCTTACACAATCTACAATATGTTTTTTGCGTCTTACACAATATGAATTTGCAAATACATATATAATATATTTTAAGTATGTATTTTCTTGATTTATTGCAATTTATACTAAAAATGTTTTTACCATTTTTACTTATACGTAAGAGCGGATAGATGGTTGGCATGCATGTGCGGACATACCAATCATTTCACTACACTTAGAATACATAAAAGTTTTTTTAAAAAATATAAATTGTATAATAATTAAAATAAAAATTAGATTGTAATCAATCTTAACAAAATACATGCATGGAAAAGTTTGCATGTGACTTAAACTACTGTACAATTAATATTTATGTCTGTACGCGTATTTGTAAAAAAATTGATATATAGCTCTTACGTGTTAAAAAGTTTTTAAGTGACTTTGTAAAACAAAGTGCGCGAGATTTATTTGTATATACTTCTATTTTTAACTCTTATTCATATTTTTTCATCGTATTATAATTTATTCTTTCGTTCGGTTATTTTTCATTTCATTTATGATCTCAAAATTTTGATATACAATGAAAAAAAATTATGTATATATATATATATATGAATATGATATAAAATTTTATTTTTATTTAAAATATGATAAGAGATAGGATGAGATGGTAACATAAGTTATGTACATTTTAGAAAACAACAATAAAAAGATGATAAAAGTTATAGAAAAATATATGGTCCTATTAATATTATAAAATAATAATTAGTATATACTTTATTCATTTAGTAAATATTGGTTTGAAAAGAAAAATTATTTAAAATTACGATTTTTTAAAAAAAAATTCAATAAAAGTTAAATATTTTTTATTATTTTTAACATTTTATTCTTTAAATTATTTTTATCATGATTGTATTTCATTTAAAATTGTATTATCTAATAATTTGTTTATTTAAAACATGTTTAGATGTTATTAATATATTTTGTAAATTAATAACATTCCGAAATAATAATATATCATACTTCAAGTATTATTAATAAATAAAAATTTTACTATTCTATTTGGATAATTTAGTATTATTTTTTTTATATGAAATTATATTATATATATATTTTTTTTTTTTTGAAAAAAATCGTAATTATATTTTATGAAATTATGAATATATGTAAAAAATTAAAATTATAATAATTTTTATTTTCTGTTAATTTAAATTTGTTAATTTTAGTGTTATAAATATATTCTAGTTTATTTATGTTTTAGTTACATTATTTCTATAATTTTAATTCAACCAATCAAAATATTTCGTTTATTTTAGGAAGTTTGACATGTCACATTTACATGTCATCAATTAAAAGCACTAACTTTGGTTGTAGTGTTGACAAATCAGCTATCTTCAATAATGTTACTTCTCAAATAATATGTAGTGGATGAAAGAAAACTCATATGTATTAAACAAAATTATTAAAAAATATATTTAAAATCATAATTAAATTATTTTAAAATTTTAGTCATGACAAACAATTAAAATCTGAACTGCTAACTTAAAATATATTAGTTGTGGTCTGTGTTGATGTCTTAGGCCAACGAGCGTCCACATATGACATATATATTCAATATGATTAGTCTATATCAGCGTTTATCATTAAACATAAAAAAATAAAAAATATTATTAATAATTTGAATAAATTAAAACATACAAAAATATAAAATTATCACAATAGAATGGAAAATTAAGATAATTTTTTAACTAAATAAAATAAATTTATGTCAAAAGTATAAATCTATTGTGAAAATAAAATGGTACCTCATTATCACAAAAACTAAACTAACAAAAACAAATATGTTAATCAATGACGAAAAAAGTTAAATTAAAAAAAAAATTAGCATATATATTTCAAATGAGTAATTCATTTAGAAAAATATTAAGATTAAATTTTCATGTAAACATATAAAATTGTTAGTTAAAAATATCAATACTACAAAAAAAAACATTCATCTTAAATTATCGAAAAGATAGTCATCTAAAACTTATAATTTTTGGGAAAATATTTAAAAAATTAATACAAAAACCTTAACAAAACAAAAATGATACTATATGCTAATTACTAAAGAAAGCAAAATAAAAAATATTTAACTAACAAAAACTAAAACATAAATTATTTCTTACAACATGTTAATACAATTAAAATAAAAGTCTATATCAAGAAAGTTAAATTAACAAAAAAAGAGGATATTAACTTAATATCTATGTTATTTATTTAACAAAATCAATATAAACAGAATAAGTAAGAGAATAAAAAAACTTAAATAATACTTAAAAACCTAAATAACAAAAATAATATAAATATTTAAGCTAATTATTTAATAAATCAATATTAAAAAATTAATTAACTAAAAACTAAAACGAAAATTAAAATTTACAAAATATTTTTTTTTAAAACAATTAAAAATATATTGACTTGATATCTGACTAACTACTTAAATAATTCATATAAAAATATTTAACTAACAAAAAAATTATGTTTTCAAAATATCAATATTTTAAAAACAATGGTGTGTTAAAATAAAATAAAAGTCAATATCAAGAGAGGTAAATTATCAAAGAAAAAAGTCGTATAAAGTAAAATTAGCTTAAAATTTAGGCTAACTACCAAACAAATATTAACTAAAAAAAACAAATGATGGTATAAACTTTTAAGAGAAGTTCACTTAAAATTTAGAATAACCAGTAATAGCATGTCAAAATAGCATTTTAAATAATTTAAAAAGTAAATTTAACAAAGAAAAAGTATTTATGTTAAAGATATTAGATTAATATATATGCTACATATTTGAAAAATCAATAACATAAGAGATTAATTAAAAATATATATGTTTTCAGTATATCAAACCTGCAGAAAATTAGATAATTAAAATAAAATATAAAATTACCATCAAAGATATTTATAATAACAAAAAACAAGATCTAAGAAGAAAATTAGTATGAAATATAGTTCCAAAAATATTCATGATTTCTAAAATATTGGTGTTGACTATGAATAACCAAATAAATTTTTAATAGGTTATCCAAGTTTCTAAATCAAACATATTATTTAAATTTACAAAGATTAATACCTTGGTTGCGTCTGATTGAAAAATTAACAAAGTAAAATACTACACAAGTAACTTTACATTCAAAATATAATAAGTAATAAAGTCTGATATGTATACATATTTACTGCTTATAACTTAGTCAACATGAACAACACATGAGCAACATCCTCTAAAATTTAATTTAAATAATATAATATGATAGAGTTATGAATCAAATTCAAATGGAATATATGAAGATAAAATATTCAAATCAAAAGATGAATAAACATACAAAAGAAAAAAAAACAGTGATAATGTGAAGTCTCAACATCATCTTACATGTTTAAAAACAAATATTAGCAAATAGTTGACTGCAAATAAAATAGATCTTATAAACTGAATAGAGATATAACCTAAAATTCATAGAAGATCTGATGCAGAAGCAAAAAACAGCTTTACACGATTAGTATAGCTTACTAACAAAAGTAAATCTGAATCAACATATATCATATATTATATATGTATATGTACACAATATTAGTGAGAAATTTAGTAAAGAAACTAAATATTTAAACATATAAACCTTTAAAAACAAGAACCAACGAAATCATAAGGATACAAAACAAAACACCAAAAATTTAGTAAGGAAATCATTTTCTAAATCAAACATATGCACATCGAAGTTTCATTATTATGATTTTACTTAGTAATAGTTATAATTTTATAAAAAAAAAAAGGAAATACTACATATTATGTTTTAATTTTTATATAAAAGAAAATTTCTATAAAATATATTATAGTTTTGATAATTTAAAAGATATTAGCCAAAAAATTAACCAAATTATTAATACAGACTCGCGCGTAGCGCGAGTTAAAAATATAGTCTATTACTAATAAAAGTTGATGCTAAATGCCTCTAAGAGTGTCCACATAAGATTTAAAAATTCAATTCTATCGGTACACATCATAATTATTTTTAGTTAATTATATATTGTATGTTAAAATTAATTAAATCGTTTTAATTATTACAAGGAAAGTTTCTAAATTTTAATTGATTTTGTTTTGTTGTTATTAGAAAAGTTTCTAAATTTTAAATTAGTTATTAATAAAATATATTTTTGAAAATAGATCTTATTTTTCTATTAACAATAAAAAGATAAATTAACATATAAATAGATTATGATAGAAGAATCATATATATAGAACAAAATTATTAAAAACTGTATTTAAAACCATAATTAAATTATTTAAAATTTTAATCACAACAAACAATTAAAATTTAAAGTGCTAACTTAAAATATATTAGTTGTTGTCTGTGTTAAAAATTTTAAATTTTAATTAATTTCGTTTTCATTTTTATTAGGAAAATTTCTAAATTTTAAGTTAGTTATTAATAAAATAGATTTTCGAAAATAGATCTTATTTCTTATTAACAATAAAAAGTAAATTAACAGATAGATATATTATGATAGAAAAATCATATATATTGAACAAAAATAATTAAAAACTGTATTTAAAACCATAATTAAATTATTTTAAAATTTTAATCACGACAAATAATTAAAATCTGAACTTCTAACTTTAAATAGATTAGTTGTGGTCTGTGTTAATGTCTTAGGCCAATGAAACTGTCCGCATAGGACATATATACTCAATCTAACTGGTATATATCGTCGTTTTTCATTAAACATAGAAAATATTAAATATTATTAATAATTTATAATTTTAATAAATTAAAACATCCATAATATAAAATTATCATAGTAAAATAAAAAATAAAAAAAAAAAAAAATTTAACCAACAAAACAGTTATGTCAAAAATCCAAATCTATAACCTTTGTCAAAATAAAATGGAAACTCATTATCACAAAACTAAACTAACCAAAACAAATATGTAAATAATTAACGGAAAAGTTAAATTAAAAAAAAGAAAAAATTTAGTATATATATTTTAAATGAGTAATTTATTTAGAAAATATATTATGATTAAATTTTAATATAAACATCTAAAATTATTATTTAAAAATACAGTACTACCAAAAAAACATTCATGTCAAATTAACAAAAGAAAAAATTATCTGAAACTTGATATTTAGTGAAATTATTTAGAAAATTAACACAAAAAGCTTAACTAACCAAAAATAATACTTTAAGCTAATTACTGAAGAAAGTAATATAAAAAAAAATTCAACTAATAGAAAACAAAACATAAATTATTTCTTGCAATATGTCAATACAATTAAAATGAAAGGCTGTATTAAGAAAGTTAAATTAACAAACAAAAAGGGTATTAACTTGATATCTATGTTATTTATTTAACGGAATCAATATAAACATAATAAGTAAGAAAATAAAATAAAAACTAAGTAATACTAAAAAACGTAACTAATAAAAATAATATATATATATATATTTAAACTAATTATTTAAGAAATTAATTAACTAAAAACTAAAACAAAAATTAAGTTTTACAAAATGTAATTTTAAAAATACCTAAAAATATATTGACTTGATATCTGACTAACTACTTAAGAAATCTATATAAAAATATTTAACTAACAAAAAGTAAAAAAAATAAAATTATGTCTTCAAATTATCAATATTTTTAAAACAATTGTGTATTAAAATAAAATAGAAATCAATATCAAAAAAGGTAAATTATCAAAGTAAAAGTCGTATAAAATAAAATTAGATTGATATTTAGGCTAACTAACAAAAAAATTAACTAAAAAAAACAAATGATGGTATAAGTTTTTAGGAGAAGTTCACATGAAATTTCGAATAACCAGTTATAGCATGTCAAAATAGAATTTTAATTAATTTAAAAAGAAAATTTAACAAAGAATTTTTTTTATCTAAAAGATATTAAATTGATATATATGGTACCTATTTAAAAAATTAATAACAAAAGAGATTAACTAAATATATATATATGTTTTAAGTATATCAAACATGCAAAAAAATAAATAATTAAAATAAAATATAAAATTACAATCAAAAATATTTAAAATAACAAAAAATAAGATCTAAGAAGAAAATTAGTTTGAAATGTAGTTCCAGAAAATTCATGATTTCTAAAATATTGGTGTTGAGTATGAGTAACCATATAAAGTTATAGTATGTTATACAAGTTTCTAAATCAAACATATTATTTAAATTTATAAAGACTAATACCTTGGATACGTTTGGTTTAAAAACTAACAAAGAAAAATACTACACAAATAACTTTACATTCAAAATTTAACAAGTAACAAAGTCTGATTTTTATACATAGCCAACATGAACAACACATGAACAACATCTTCTAAGATTTTATTTAAATAATAAAATATGACAAAGCTATGAATCAAGTTCAAATTGGAATATATCTAGGTAAACTATTCAAATCAAAACATGAATAGAACACACAAAAGATAAAAAAAAAATTAAATAGTGATAATGTGAAGTCTCCACACCATCTTACATGTTTAAAAATAAAAATTAACAAATAGTTGAATGTAAATAAAATAGATCTTATAAAATGAATAGATATATTACCTAAAATTTATTGAAACAAAAGTAAATCTGAATTAACATATAATATATATTATATATGTATAGGTACACAATATCAACGAGATATTTAGTAAAATACTAAATATTTAAACATAGAAACTTAAAAAAAAGAACTATAGAAATCATAAGGAAACAAAACAAAACACCAAAAATTTAGTTAGAAAATCATTTTCTAAATTAAAGGTATGCACGTCGAAGTTGGATAATTCGTTAGGTGTCATTACTATAATTTTACTTAATAAGATTTATAACTTTATAAACAAAAAATAGAAAAAATTTACATATTTTGTTTTAATTTTTTGATATGAAAGAAATTTTTTATAAATATAGTATAGTTTTGATAATTTAAAAGATATTAACCAAAAAAATAAAAACAAATTATAAATACAGATTCGCGCGTAGCGCGAGTTAAAAACCTAGTATATTAGAATATTTGAATAACTAAAAATATTGTTAATGAAACAAGTTAAATTGAATATTGTTTTTGCTAAATAATTATAAAGCACTAAAAATTATTTTTAGTAGATCAATTATATTTTGTTTTTTTAATTATATTTTTAATATCTTAACGGAATCACATTTAAAAAACATAAAAATGTACAAATGTAATAAATAATACGAATAGTAAAAATTAACAAAATTACATTTTTAAAACATAAAAAAATATGAGAAATTTGTATACCATTCAAACACATTATATAGTTTTCAGCTTACCATATAGAAATAGTTCAATCATTCTTGCCAAGTCTGCCTAGTAAATGTAAAACATAATTCATATATTATTCTCAACAGAAAATAACTGCTTTAGTCAACGAAACCGTTCAGTGGAATTTGATGAAAAATATAAGAAAACATGCAGAAAGAAAAATGATGAACTCATTAAGCTCAAAATCTTAATATTTCTTTTCAAACATCAGGATGATAAATTTGTAATTTAGCGTCCAACAAAAAAAATATGTTAAAATAAATAGCTGCTTTAGTCAAGAAACCGTTTAGTGGAATTTGAAGAAAATATAAGAAAACATGCAGAAAGAAAAATGATGAACTCATTAAGCTCAAAATCTTAATATTTTCTTTTCAAACATCAGGATGATAAATTTGTAATTTAGCAACCAACAAAAAAAAATGATAGATTTGTTTTTACGATTAAAACTCGCATTATATATATAATAACAAAATGACAATAATGAATACAATCTATTTCACTAATTTATGGAATATACTAATCAAAAGTGACATAAATAACTTAAAGCATGTAGTGGAAGCACATGGTTTCACTGTCATGTTCCAATCTATCATATTGGGACCAAATGTATGATTGTTTCGAACTAACCTGAGTTTGGTTCCAAGACATTACTTTGATTACATGATTGAAACTTATTAGCTCATCATATTCCACATCACATCATTTATTGCTCTTTTCATATATGAGACGATTATACATGTTGGGCAGAGAATTTCAGAAAGCTGTTGAGGTCACACAACTTATATTATCACTTTTATGCTCTAGTGGAAGATGATTGATCTCTCAAAACCCAAAAAGGGTCAAACCTTTCACAACAGTGGAGATGAAACAAAAGCTAACCAAACTTTATCAATTGTTACAAACAAACAAATTAACAAACAGAGAGAGACAATAGAAATAGTCCTCGCAAAGCTACTGATGAAACAGAACGAAACACTTTCTTTTTTTTTTGTTCATCCACCAATTTTAATCATACAGTAGTAGTTTTCAACATTTTAAACTCAAACCTTCAAGGAATCAAGCTGGCTTTCTCCACTTGTGAATCCAGTTTTCTCTTTAGCCTTCTCTGTGAATCTGTGATTTAAGATTGCAAACAATGATTCCGTGGAAACATTTGTAGCCTCACCGAGCAAATGGTTCAAAGACAGATTGTATACTTAAGCATCTCTCATGCTGATGTTTAGGCTATTTCTCATTGTTCTTCTCCCAACACCAGCATTTCCCTTTTGCATCATGGCAACAAACTCTCCATAATCAATTCTTCCATCCTGTTAAAAGAAAACAAAAGCCAAACTTTATCAGCTTCTTTGACAGGTGGAAAGAAGAGGTCAAGAGGCCAAAACACTTACGTTATCTTGGTCTACTTCTTTGATAACGTCTTCAAGGAAAACATCGGTCATGCCATGTTCAACGCAAGATTGTTGCAGCTCATCAATGGTGATGTAGCCACTCCCGTCTTTATCAAAGTACTGAAACGCAGAGACAAGATGCTCTTCTCTGTCTAGTTTATTCAGATGGATCGTCGCTGCAATGAACTCACTGTAATCTATTGTACCACTGTTGTCCACATCAGCCTAAGATACAACACCAACACACATACAGATATGGTCATTATCTGTCTACATAGAGAAATGAAAATAGCATATATATATATATATATATATATATCCCAAACGGATGCATTTTTTTACCGCTTCCATAAGATCTCTGATCTCAGTGTCTTTTAAAGTTGAGCCATATCTTCTCAAGCCAGCTTTGAGTTCATCAAAAGTGATTGCACCGCTGTTATCAGTATCCATTGCCTCAAACATTTCTCTTAAACCTGCAATCTCTTCTTCTGAGAGGCTCTCAGCTATCACCTGATTAAACCATAATAAGTAAAATGAGTTTTTATCCCAAATGAATGTGATGCAGAGTGAATATGGAAGTTTGATGTTTAAAAGCAACACCCACCTTTAAAGCCATCTTCTTTAGTTTATTCATTGCAGAAAACTGTTTGAGACGAGACAGAACAGCCGGATCAAGTGCTCTATCTGGTGCAACACCGTTCTCACATATCCATGGATGACCTGGAAACAACAAAAGAAGGGAGATACAATATAGTCTAACGTTGCGTGTGGTTGCCAAAATGTAAAACCTTTATTCAAGTAAACATGATTACATACGCAAGACTTCATGAGCGGTCAAGCGTTCAGAGGGACTTGAACATAACATCTTCCGGATCAGATCTTTAGCACTGTCGGATATCACAGGCCACGGGTCTGACTCAAAGTCGATATATCCTTTCAAGACAGCATCAAATATGCCTTGCTGTGTCTCTGATTCCAAAAGAACACAAAACCATACTTCAGGAAATCTCGTCTATGGCACTAACAGAACGCATGTAAAGAGGCTATGGTACCATTACACATACCTGCCCAAAAAGGAGGGACACCACTTAGTAAGATATAGAGTATAACACCAGCAGTCCACACATCAGCTTCTGGACCATAATGTTTGAGAAGAACCTCAGGAGCAACATAGTATGGACTTCCAACAACATCCTTGAATATTTGTCCTGAAGTAAGAAAACACATTAGGCAAAACAAAAGGAGCCCTCTAGAGATCAAGCATGGAGACTTGAGATGCAGAGTTGTGCATATGAATGTATGTATGCACAAATGACTCAGTACAAAGAGAAGCCAAAACGAGATTCTTCATCTAAGATAATCCATAGTAGTACTATCAAATTCTTTACAAACCAAATCAGGCTCTAACAATGTTCCTAAGATGCTTTGACAATAAACTAGATACAACGTTACCTGGTTTAAAGAAAACGGAGAGCCCAAAGTCAATGGCCTTGAGAGAGAAATCATCATCCTTATTAACCAACAAGAAATTCTCAGGCTTTAAGTCTCTATGCATGACACCAAGCGAGTGACACGCCTCAACAACACCGACGATGATCTTGGTCAACTCGGCAGCTTTTCTCTCGCTGTAATGCCCTCTCTGAATAATCCTATCAAACAACTCACCACCAGCACAAACCTCCATCACAATGTGAACATACAAAGGGTCCTCATAGGCTCCTTTGATCGTAACAATGTTCTTGTGACCAGCCAAATGGTGCATTATCTGAATCTCCCTCCTAACATCCTCAACATCTTCTTTAGAGATCAGTTTTCTCTTGGATATAGACTTGCAAGCGTAGTCAACACCTGTTGCAACCTCGGTGCATAGATACGTCGTCCCGAACTGTCCTTGTCCTAACTTACGGCTCAACGTGTAGAGATCACGGATGTTTGGAGTCTTGTGACCAAGAACATAGTAAGCTTGGTTGTCCATGTTACGACGCATAATAGGTTCCCTTACAGGGATCACAAGAACCGGATTGTTGTTGTGGCTGCTGTCCTTGTCCTTTTTCTGATCTTCTTTGGAAGAGAAGTCTTGTTCGTTGGTCGGAGAATGATCGGAGGAAACGTGGGTGGTGCTTTTGGAATTCTCCTCGGGCCGACTGTTATTGCCCTCGTAGATTTTGTCCTTGAAAGAACCACGGCATGAATTGCCCATGAAACAATGGCGGATTAACTCAAAATCACTTTCTTCTTCTTCTCCTCATCCAACGAAAACTGTTGATGATAGACAAAAAAAAAAAAAACAAATCAAATCAGACCAGAGAAGCAAAAAGTATCGAACTTGGAACGAAATCAGAGAACCCATATCAGATCAAGCATCAGAAATGATAAAAGAAAAAAACATTTGTAATTTAATCAAGAAAAAGAGCTCCTGACAAGTCGTTCCTTTTTAGCTGAGAGATTTATTCAGGAGAATTTTCTTTAAATGTTCGTTGATCATATACCAATATTGTAGGGTTATAGATCCGACAAAAGAATTCAAAACGACAATAAATGAGGAATCGGTAATAAAAGAAACTTCAAAAACAGAGGATCTTGTACCAGAATAGCAGAAGAGCGAGGAGACAGATGACATGGATTAGGATTAAGATTAAGAAATCTGATTAATCTCTTTCTGGGAGACGAAAGAAGGAAGACGAAAAACTCTCTCAAAAGATAAACACTTTAAAGTCAATAACAAAAGGAAAAAAAGTTTCTTTCTTTAATATATCCCTGAGTTGCTGTTTCTGGTTGATTAATCGAATGCGCTGAATCAAAAAAATCAGAGTGTAAAGATTTATTCCTTTTGTGGATTTGTTATGATGAAGGAGAGAGGATGGTGCAAAGAAAGGTCTTAGTGCTCATCACCTAAACGCGGTTTCGACTCACCTTCTTCATTCCTTAATTATTAAATTAATCATCAATCTCTTTTACTGGTCTAATGATAGTCGAGCAAGTAGGAACAATATTAAATTGTTAATTCTGTAATGGTATATTTAGGATAACTTATTTTTAAGAGAATGATTATAAGCCAAACGTTATGGATGTTGCTTATGCCCAACTTAGCTAAGCTAACTACAAAATGTTTATTATTAGATGCATATTGTTAAGAGTTAATTCTATGGCTTTAATTAACAGAATGAAACAGTTGACACAACTAACTGATTTTAAAAGAAACTAAAAGATTATTATGTTGACTTTTCATATTGGTTTATCAAAGATAGTACATAAGATTTACTAGTGTAATGCATCATTTCTCGTACAAGAACACAAGCGTGAGACATGTCATTGTCGGTCAGTGACTTTTAGATCGCAGACTACAATTGTCTCTCTCGCACGTGGTACGAGTTTAGCTTTGGACTTGCCTGTTTTTTTTTTTCTTTTCTGATTTTATTTGTCAATCCATTTCTAAAAATTTATTTACTTTTCAATGGTGTCAAAGAGCAAACGAATTTTTCTTTGTTTTATTGAAATGCTCGGTCATAATAAAAAGTCAAATACAGCTGCTATAAAATATAATCCAAGCTTCTTGTAAAATTAACAAAATTCCAAAAACAAAGTGAACGAAAATATGAGAGACGTCACTAACTAATTAGCTGTGGAGTATTATTATACTTTTCGGAAGTTTCTGAGCAATCTAAGAAGTAAGAACAATAAACTCTCAGTCTTCTCTTCTCAGACAAAATATTCCAGATCAGTTAAAGATCATAATTTCTGTTTACATCAATATTACTCATTAGGAGATTACTTACAATCCAGTTTCAGGAGGTTGAACAAACGCATCTGCTCGCGAGTAAACAGATCAAAAACGCTAATTCCAACCGCTACGCAACCGCTAAGAGAATCTTACATAATAATATGGTTTTGAGTTTCTTGTTCTGATGTTGACAGAGAGATAAATCTACTCTTCTAAGCTTCACACTGATAATTTAGTTGCATCCACAGATTTCTCCACTCCTCCACTTGTAGGGCTATAGTTTTCACAATTGTATAATCACTGGTTAGATGAGAATCAGAACACAAAAGATTAGAGCATTGTGATAGGGAAATTTAAAGAGATGTCTACTTACAATCCACTCAAGACTTTGATGGCATCGTAAAAGAACCATTGCAAGGTTATAACAGGTCCAACGATCGTGATCCGGACAGGAAGACTTCTGGTGAAGAGACCAACAAACCCAATGTTCCTCACAGCCTGAAGCAATACAACCAACATCAATCAAATCAAGAATACATTGCAAAGTGGATATCAAAGATTGATTTGCAGATGATGATGTTCAAGAGTCTTACCTGCAACACATTCTTGGCTTTGTTGTTGTAGAGAGACGAAACAACAACATCTGCAGGGTTAGAGATGATTGTCCCTACGGCTCCAGCAGTATAACCAGCAAGACATGTGACACCAAGCTGTTGAGCTTTTGAGCAATCTTGTTTCCTCTTCTGGATAATGTTCTCATATATAAACTCAACCGACTGCTCAAACGTTGAGAACATCACCATAGAAACTGAAACCACATAGGAGACAGAGACATAATCAACAAGATATGGTTTTGGTAGAGATTAGAGATTAGAGAACACAACAAAGTCAACAAAAATGCTAATGTGCAATACACCATCTATAGCTCAAGCATATCCTGGAAGCTAATGCCTAAAACTGAACGATTTGATCACATAACTGACGATTTGAGAAGTCGTAACAGAATAAAATCAAACTGGTGCAGAGAGATGATAACGTTCAGATTGATATAGTAAAAACAGGCATTGCACAACGCAGTAATATTACATGGAAGATTGCGACACCAGAGCGGAAAAAGTCCCTTGTGGAAGCTGCATTTTGGAAAGATAAAGACTCAAAAACGAACGCAAAAGTGACAACTCAAGCAGAATGATTCTGAGAAAAAAGGGCTTTAGCAGCTTACCCAGCAAGACCTTCATTTCTATACACTCTTGGAAACCCATCAAGCAGCCCTTTTGCAAACAAGGGCTGCGTCTGAACTCGAACTTTAATGGCTTCAAAAGGACACAAGGCCATATCGGCGAATATCTGAGCAGAGGCACTGCTGAGAAAATATATGGACGTTCTGTTATTGTTAGGCAACACATTGCTGTAGAGTGTCTTGAAGTACTCATACAGTCCGAATCTGCATCCACCTTGAACACCATAGCCTAAAAGCTTCCCTGACCAACCTCTCCAGAGATAGGAACGGCCATGTTCTCTTAAGAGAGTGGAGAAACCGGAAGGGATGCTATTGTACTTCAAGGGATTCACCTACAGGAGAGTGTGATCTTATTGACTTACTAATCATAATGATCCAATCTGAGCAGAGAGTACAGAGCAAACATCCTAAATCTAGCAATTTGATCCATCATTACATATCCCTAAGAGATTCAACTCTAGCTATAAGGGGACACAGAACAAAACGAGACAGATCAATAGAAAAAACAAACAAGATTGGAGATTTTTAACATCAAGAAGCAGCGGAATGAAAGAAACAAACAAGATTTGACATTTTTTAGCATCAAGAAGCAGAGGAATGAAACAAAACCTGCATATTGACTTTGAGGACATCAAGAGGGGTTATAGCTAAATGGGTTGTTCCGGCACTGAGCATACCTCCCATGGTGCAAACGGTGTAAAACCAAGGAGACGACAGCTCGTCGTCTAGTTTCCTCTTGACACTTGTCATCTTCTACAAAAAAACGTTTCGGATCCCGATAAACCCTAATCACTCTGATCAAAAAAAGGTTGCTCTTTGGCGTTTTTCTCCGGAAACCCCCAAAAACCCAGAAATGAAGAGAACACGTCACGAATGTCTCACAGGAAAGCTAAAGCTATAGAAGAGGAGGAAAGAGCGCACGTGGATGATTCCCATGTCTGATGGCGATCGTTTGTCCACGTCTCGCGGCAAAGGCAAGGCTCAGAACAAAACAGAGAAGTCACTCTTTTTAACTTTTTCCTGACCAAAAAGTTCCAAGCTTTCGGGAACGGGTTGGCGGAAAAATCGCATCTTTTTGTTTGGGAAAGTATTATTAAGAGGGATGATGATGATTTCAATTTTAGGTTTCATGCCGGCGGATAGATTCGTAGGCTTTCCGTTACCGGAAATTTATATGAGTTCCTATTCTTACCAATTGGGCTTTCCATGGGCCCTTGTAGTTAGGGTTCTTCATTTCATGCCAAGATAAAATAGTAAAAATACCCAAAAATATAATAAACTTATGACGAATTCTGCAAAATTTAGATTTTCTTCTCAAAAAAGTTGACAACTAACCAATTTTAGTAAGAAGTAGCAGTAAGATTGAATATGGAACGATGACGATTTGAAGACACAAACATCGGAAAGATAACATAATTTTGATTGCCAAGTTATGTGATTGAGAGCAAAACATGGGTCTATTGTTTTTGCTGCCATTAACAATACAAATTCAGAATCATTCAAAACATGGTTCTACTGTTTTGGCTACTAAGATTAAATTTGGTATCTCTTCTACTGCTCACTGATGATGGTTCTTGTGGACTCTGTTGTCAACAGCTGCAGATATCTCGTCCCTGAATGATTGTAGGTGTATATAGAGTCTGCTGTCCCTGATGTACCTGGAACATTTGTAGTGTAAGACTTTATATTTTGTTTATGTAAAATTTATATACCAAGAGAAATTTACCATTGTCTTGTTAATTAAAGAAATCTGTTCTGCTGCCACTTTGTCTATAGCAGCTATGATGCCTTTCATTTGAGGCTTCAAGATAATCAAAATAAAAATAAACCAATAAGAAAATCAAACTAAGCATCACAAGAAAAATATCCAAGAAATACTATAGAAGAAAACTTTTATTATTTCATGGAAAAAAAGAATTACTGAGTCCATAAACGCATAATACACACTGTTTTTTTAGGAAAGTAAGAATCATATCCTCTTCATCTGCCATAGCTACAAAAAAAAAGTTACAAAATCAACTGACAGCTTATAGAGAAAACAATTCAATATGACTACGATTGTTCTCCCATTTTTCACAACAATCAACATAACAATAACCCATAAATCTTTCCATAGCTTGACACATCAACATTTTTAAGCTTTTAGAAGATGACACTTCAGCAAAAAAAAAAATACCAATAAAAATATTTCATTAATACAAGTCATCAATATATTTTAACTTTTAAATTTAAACCTATTAAAACCCCAAATATTTTTATTGTTAATTTTAATTTTATTTTTTGGTCAAGCCCAAACCTAAATAATAAATAACAGCAAATAAAAAAAGTTATTTTATTTTTTTGCCAAACCCAAATAATAAATAACAACAACTAATAAAATTAAATCTTTGTTTTATATTTTTACCAAACCAAAACTCAAATAATAAATAACAGCAAAAAAAAAAAACAATTTCTACCTATGTGTTTGCTTGATAGATACGTATATAATTGAAGAAAGTGTAGACTCATCATCAACTATGCTTCCATAACAGCAATGCAAAAAGCATTATGTTATAAGAAGCTCACACATCAGCAAAAATTTAAACCAGTAAAAACATAATAATAATACATATTATTATCACATTAATAAAATCAATTTACTATTTTGCTGACCCATTAAAAAGCCCAAAGTTTACAAAATAAAAAATGGAAGGCGAAAGCAAATGAGGAGAGACTCAGACCACCACAGCTTGGAGATTCGCATTTCCACTGGTTACTCAGAATAAATTTTCTTGGGTTTGGCGGAAATAGAGAATTTCTTGGTTTTGGTAGAAAAATATGATTTTCAGTTTTTGTAGGAAAACATAGTTTCTCGGTTATGGCAGAAAAAGCCAATTCTCGGGTTTGGCGGAAGAATGTGAATTTTTGGTTTTGGTGAGAAATAAAAAATTTGATTTTGACGAGAAAATGCGAGGGAAATGCAACTTTTCAATTTTGACGAAAAATACAATTTCTTGGTTTTGATAGAAAAATGCAAATTTTCGGCTTTTGATGGATAATGTAATTTCTTGATTTTTGCAGAAAATTGTAATTTGACAATTTTGGCAGAAAATGCAATTTTTCGGGTTGATAGAAAAGCAAAGTTTCTCGATTTTGGCGAGAATAAACAATTTTTTGGTTTTGATGAGAAATATAAATTTTCAGTTTTTGACATATAATTTGATTTTTTGGTTTTCGAGGGAAAATATAATTTCTTAGTTTTTGCGGGGAAACACAATTTCTCATGAGATAATGCAATTTTTGGTTTTTGCGGAAAATTGTAGTTTATCGGTTTTGGTAGGAAGACGTGATTCTTGATTTGATGAGAAAAATAATATTTTCTTGTTTTGGTGGGAATAGACGATTTTTGCGGAAAAATATATTTTTGGTTTTGACGGGAAAATAGTATTTTTTTTTTGCAAGAAGATGATTTTTTCGTTTTGGTGAAAAAACTTGATTTCTCTGTTTTGATGGGAAAACACAGATTCTCGCGGGAAAATGTGATTTTTTGGTTTTTGAGAGAAAATGTAATTTCTTTGTTTTGGTAGGAAAATGAAATTTCAGGTTTGACGAGAAATGAATTTTTTTGGTTTTGGCGGGAATAGGCGATTTCTCAGTTTTGTGGGAAAATATATTTTTTTTGTTTTGTCAGAAAATACAATTTTTCGGTTTTTGTAAAATGATAAAATTTCTCTGTGCTAATTTTCAAAATTACAATATGTTTATAGTAACCAAAATTAAATTATTTAACTTCAACTAAATTGATATTTCAATAGTTGAAATAGAACTTTCTATTTAGTTTAAAAATAATAGTAATGATTTTGATATGAATGTTATTAATTATAGTTTGGTAGTTTTAGAAACATATGTCTATATAAATATTTGATAAACAAATAAATTTTATAGTTTAAAATAATCATATTAATTAATATTTTTTTAAATGGTAATTTGCTTTATATAATTTCAAAAGAGGATCAAGTAGCAATTTAGTAGTGAAAATAAATTATATTTACCATTAGCATGAAGGTACTTAAAAATCTATTGTTTTATTCTTACATATACATTTATAGATAGTTAGCTAAATAAATCTGATAGTAGATTATAATTTTAAAAAATTAAAAAATTAATAATATATAATGTTTATTCAGATTTAAAACATATAAATACATATTTTAATCTAATAAAAAATAAATATAATACTTATTTATATTATATAAATAATTTTATTATATTAAAAATATATACAAATTTAGAAAAAATATCCCGCAGCGTAGCACGGGTAAATAACTAGTTTCAGTTAATAACTGAAACTTGCTTGAAGCTATAAAGAAAGATAAAATAATTAATATTTTAGGAAAACAAATCAATAAAAAAAATCCAATATAACTTCTGAAATAGTGTTACGCTTATGTAATTTACTCTATTAGGCATTACTTTGATTGCTATAGATCCTTTGTTTTTGGCCTTATGTAACATCCGCTTTGGTATATATAAAAGGGAAATTGGCACTAATGATCATAAAAAATTTTGAAATTCAGCAAATAACCATAACCATTGAGGTGCTATAATATTCATTGTATTTTTTACAATATATACGAAATTACTCTTTTTAATTTTAACGATATTTTTTTTTGTTTTTTCTCTTCTCCTGTGATCTTCTCCTCTTCCCCTGCCGTTCCTTTCATTTCTTTCCCGGTTTTTTATTTTCCTTCCTCTCCTTTCCGTCCCCTCTCTTCTCCTCTCTCTTCCTCTCTTTTCCCTCCCTTCATTTTTGTAAATAGTATAAATAGTATAGTATAACAATAAAAACTAATATGTAATTACTATACTATATTAGTTTTGTCGAAAACAAAACACATATTATAGTAAAGTCCAAAAAAAATATAGACAACATGTGTTTTTATAATATTTTTACGCAAAGAAAAAGGAGATTTTAGTAATTTTTATGTGGGTCATGGTTAATTTGCATATTATTTGAACAGCATAGCTATATTCTTTGATTGTTTTTCAAATATGGTTATATAACAAAAAATGTCCTATATAAAATCTTTCAGTTGAAAAAAAAAAACTTCCGAAATAGTGATAAGTTTACCGAAGTTAAGTTATTTGCGTGTCCCATGAGGATATCATCCCATCTTTATTTTGGACATTTAAATAGCACAACATATAAATACATACTTTCTGTATGGCTTCTTCAGTATTTTTTTAAACTAAAATATCTATTCACATGACTTATGAGATTGGCTAACATATATCAATTTTGCGAGATTTGTTCAAATGTGATTCAATTTGGGAACTAATAAACAGCACAACATCATTGTTGATATGAATACAAGCTTTATCATATTGCTTTTTAATATTTTTTCAGATTTAAAACATTTTTCATATGATATCCGCAAAATCAGTTAATAAATATTAGTTCTATGCGCAATTTAACAAAGAAATCTGTCACCTCAGTCCTACTAACTAACGTCTAAATAAACATTTATTTGTGGTTATAGTTAGCAATAATTTGAAAAAAAAAAAACTGGATATTATAAACAAATGTGAGGATATGAACTGACATGCCTAGTCAAATGGGTCGGAGTCTAAACAGAATAATGATCATCTTCTCTTCTAAGAAAACTGAGTGGATAAATATTTTGAATAGAAAAGTGAGGAAAATTATAAACTCACATGAAGAGGAGGGGACGAATCAGATTCCATGTCACCAGTACGAGTAACGATCCAACGTTTTTTTTTGTAAATTTAGAAAACGTATGCTTTTAGAGAAATTTGGTTTAATAAGCAAAAAAAAGTTTATAAACTAACCATTTTTTCTTTCTATCTCTCATGATCTCTCAGTCTCTAACCCTATTCCATTTTTAACTCCAAATGATATTTTGGATTAACATTCTCTCCAATCCTATTCCATTTTAACTCTAAAATAGAGTAAACATAAATTCTACTCCATATTTGGAGTAGATTTAAACTCTACTCTATTTTGGAATAAAACTTTTTTATTTGCAAATTGATCATTTAGATTTAAAATAATTATATTTTATACTATTTAATATTTATAAAAAATATTATAAAACTGATAATTATGAATATTTAAACACTGCAATTATTCCTAAAA